CAGCAAAACTTAACTAGTGAGGTTGTGCGGGGCTCGTGTGATAATTTGGAAACTTCAGGATCCCTAAATGCACAGCTGGGTTTATATTTGTCGAATTTTAAGGCCATTTGTGGAGGGGTCGAGGGACAGGTGTCAAAAAGGCAGATGGAAATCTATAGTATCCTACAAAACTAATCAGATTTTCTATTTCTTCCTGTGTGAGCTATTATAGCTGAAGACATCAGGTAAGTGCAAAACGGCCACACGCCCAGTTTACTCTTCCCAGACTTACAAGTCAGGTCATTTACTGTCTCAGCCCTGGAGTGGAAGGAGTAAAGTGGTGGACAGAGGCCATGGATCTCTGAGGGCGGTACAGCTTCTCTCACCAGCCCTCCTTCCTCACACCTTTGCAGGTGGCCCAGCTGCCTCACACACAGGGTCTCCACATGCTCCTTACAAGAATCCCATTGTGTAGGCAGAGATTATTGCCCTATTTTATGAAAGAGGAATCTGGGTGTTGAATAACTTGCCCCAGAAGACACAAGTGCCAGGTGTCTGAGCTCCACTTAGAATCCAGGACTCCCAGTTCTCTTTCCACTAGGATACTGCTGACCTTTAGGGACAAAACAACAAGGAATGTGGCCCCATGGTGCCAAGAACTTGGCTAGGTGGGGTATTGCCTCCCCCAGTACTGTGTGCCCCAGGGCCTGGCACACAAGGACAGAGGCAATACCTGTTGAATGAATGACAACAAGGTTGTCAAAAAGGGTTCAGAAAGGAGCAAATGACTTTCCTAATGACGGTCATTGAGACCATGGTAACAGGCCATTTGTCTTTGGTTCTGACTAAGGGCCAAGACTGCCCTTGCAATATTCTTGGAGATGTGCACCCTGGCTGTTCTTACCTTTGAAGAGAGTGTGGAAATTCTCTGCTCCATAGGCGGGGCCTCATTTCTGTTGATATAGGGCCAGTGGAGCTAAAAGGAAACATCTGTGCAGGGAGAGGGTAGGGGTGGGGGATGGTTCCATGTTGGGCCAGAAGTTTTCATGTTGTTTGGGCTGACATGGGTGGGGTGGCCAGAGCTTGTTTTATATACTCAGACTTCCAACAGCTTTGGAGGGAAAAAAAAAAAAAAACAACGCTTAAAACCTGAAATGTGCCTTTTAGAGCTCTCTTCAGATTTTCCTGCCTCTGGCTTTATTGTCAAGGTGATTCTTTGTGCAGGGAAACTGATGTGAAAAGACTGGGCCCTGAGGGTGGTGTGTTAGCTCACAGACTTTTCCTTGAGGGTGGGTCATTCGTGAACATTAACCCAGCATCGTTCTCCTGGCTGAAACCAGCCCCACTTGCTGCTGCCCTACCGGCTGGTAGAGGCCTCTGGGACGGTGCCACCAGAAGATCTTTTACGCTGGGACGATGAAATCCATAGACCTCTCCGGGGCTGCTGGTGAGTCCACTGGAGGTGGCTGCAGTGCTGGTTCTCACCTAGCCAGGGAGAGCTGCGGGTGGACAAGAGGACCCGGGGGTTCAATGGCCATAAGCTTATTAACACTGGCAGCAAGTGAGGCATGGTGGCTACAAAGAGGTGGGTTCTGAACAGCGTGTCCATTTGGACCACGGGAGGCACAGGCACCTGCCCATGGCAGACTGCTTGAGAAAACACACCACAGCGAGGACAGTGACAAGCAGAATTCTATCCAAAGGTGCTTTGGGGAAGATAAGTCCAGGAACCATATCTCAGAGGAAAAGTTGGGAGGAAGCGGGGAAGGAACACGGAGAGGAGACAGTCAAAGAGGGACAGGAAGGCCAGTTGCAAACATTTGCTGGCCTCTTAAATGACTGCTCCAGAGGCCGGCGCCAGGGACCACAGGGTGATGTTTCGGAGGCCTGCCTGCCTCACCACAGGGGGACTTTATAACAAGCTGAGCGTCTAATGATGGAACCAGCTGCTTTGCAGAGTAATGAGCTGCTCGTCCCAGGAAGGATTTAAGCAAGCACATGGAGACATCTGACAGGCTCAATGGAAAAGGACAGCCCATATCGAGTGGTGGTTAAACCAGGTGGCCTCTTCCCATCTGCTTTTTATCTCAAAGGTTGAGGGACGGTGGGCCACTTGCCTTTGTTGAGGCCCACCTCAGTCCCACTGGCACAGAGGGCCCCTCACATTGCACTCCCAGGGCCTCACACAGGCCTGGGCACATTGTGAAGTGAATGAGGGATCGATGGGGCAAGAACATTTCCAGGCGGTCCTGACACAGCCTGGCTCCTGTGTGGCTCCTGTGGGATGACACCTAGAGCAGGGGGTTCCGGGTTTCTGAACGGCCACAGCAGAGCTTCTCTGGGACTTCCTCCCCAGCATAGCCAGGGCACGGCCTCAACAATCAGGCCTGTCCTGGCCTCATACTTGGAAACAAACTCCTCCCATTTCCCTGCTGCCAAAAAGCTGAGGTGAGAAAATCAAGAAAGCAATGGAGGGCTTCCCTGGTGGCGCAGTGGTTGGGAGTCCGCCTGCCGATGCAGGGGACACGGGTTCGTGCCCCGGTCCGTGGAGGATCCCATGTGCCACAGAGCGGCTGGGCCCGTGGGCCATGGCCGCTGGGGGTGCGCGTCCGGAGCCTGTGCTCCACAACTGGAGAGGCCACAACAGTGAGAGGCCTGCGTACTGGAAAAAAAAAAAAAAAAAAAAAAAAAAAGCAATGGAGTTTCAGAAAGAAAAAAAGAATTTTAATTTTCTCTTGCTATGTGCTACCCACCCAAATTTCCAGGAAGCAAGGCTCCCTGCCTGTTAGGTTGCATAATCCTCAGCCCTAAACCATCCCACTGAGGGGCCAGCTGTGCATATAAAACCCTCTCCCACTCTTAAGAATGTGAGGGATGGCCCCTGACAGAAAGGGCCAACAGAGTGCCTGCTGCCTGCCCCAGGCTCCTGCCCTTGGGGACCACAGGGGGGAGGTCAGCCAGGCTGGGCTGCAGGCACATCCCTCCCCAAATCAGATGGGGCAAGGCGGGGTCCCTGGAAGAAAAGCCTGAATTACATAGCGCTGCATTTTCTTTTGGAACAATCTAAAGCTCACAGAAAATCTGCAACTACAGTACAAAGAATATTTTTCCCCTGAGCCATTTTCAAGTGAGTTGTCGACCTGATGCCCAAAGGTTGTGCTTTAGTGCATGTTTCCTATTGACAAGGCCACGCTCCTCCATAGTCACAACACACCATCCAAACTGGACAGTAACATCCAAGGGGTACATCCCTGCCACGTGCTCCTCAGACCCACCAAGTTTCTCCAGTTGTCCCAAGGGCGTCCATGAGAGCGGAAGGGTCTGGTCCAAACACGTTGTGTTTGTTGCTCTGTGCCTGCAATCCCCTTCAGTCTGAAACAGTTCCTCAGACTGTCCTTAACAGTTCTGAAAGTTGCTGGGCAGTTGTTTTGTAGAAAGCCCCTCAGCTGGGCTAGTGTGGTGTTTCCTCGGCAGGAGTCTCACGGAGGTGATGCCGCATTCTCCTCACCTCAGCCCATCAGGCACTCAGGTGCTGCAGGCTCTCCATTTGGCCCATTACTGACGATGCTTACTTTGGTCACTTCATTCAAGTGACATCTTCCAGGCTTCTCCACTGCGAGGTGACTCTTTCCTCTTTGTAATTAATAAGTATTTTGTGGGCAAGTAATCTGAGATGATGAAAATACCCCGTTGCTCATCAGACTTCCTGTGTATTCGCTTATTTATATCTGTGTATGCTCATGATTTCCTGTTTTGCTGTTGCTGTCACTATTTTGATGTTCAAACTGTCCCTGATTTTGGCCCCAAGAAGCTCCTTCAAGCTGGCTCTGTGTCCTGGCACGTTCCCATCCTTCTTTAAACAATTCCTTGCTTTCTGGCAAAACAACTTGTTCTGGGCTCATTTTCTACTTTTCCTGCCCCAGCCCTGAAATCAGCCATTTCTCCAAGGTGCTCTGGTTCCTTTTAGTGGAAAGCTGTATTTATTATAGAAGGTGGCACTTGGATGCCAGGAGTGCTCGAGGCTTTGGAGGCAATTCTGCTCCACCCAGACAGCTGGCAGACTGATGTGCACATTTCCACTGACATTTATAGATTCCTCTTTAGGTGTCAAAGTCCACAACTGCACACCAATAGCTCCAATTTTAATCCTACACCATAGGATTCATTCTAGTTTTCTCTCTGTATTTGTACCTCCCTTTTCTAACAATGAGAAACCTGGCTCCCATGGTCTTTAATAAATGTACTTATTCGATGGGTGCCCCTGTATGTAACCACTCTCTCACCTCTGCCACCACCCACTCTCCCATGTGGACCACGTCTTCTCCTCACCTGGACTCCAACACTCCATGTAGGACCTCTGTTCCCCTGGGGGTGCCCCCCTCCACCCTGCTGCACCCTGACACCCCACACCACACTGCTCCTCATGGGGACATTCTTTTCTCCCTGCTCCGTCTCTGACACCACTCTGGGGCACCATAGCTGCCCCTCTCCCACCGTGGTCACCTCTGCTTCAGACAGGATAGTTGAGAAAGAGAAAGTGAAAAAAGGAGAGGACTCCCTTGTATTTTTAACCAAAGATACATCAAGTGCATAGAGACAGACCACAAAAGAATCACAGCAAACATTCTAGACAATCCAGCAGTCAGCCCCAGTGCACTCTGTAAGGAGACATCATTGTGGGATCATTCTGGGAGTCACCCCACTTGGGGTCAAATACTGGCACTGCCCCTTACAGCTGGGTAGCTTGGGTTCCCTTAAACTCACTGAGCCTCAGTTTCCTCAACTGTAAAATGGGGAAATGACAGCACTTCCCTCATATTGCTGGTGTGAGGTCTCCACGAGGCCAGGGAAAAGTATGACCCAGCGCCTGCCCAAGGTAACTGCTCAGCAGATGTGATCTATGACAACTAGCGTGTATTTTTCAGAATCCTAGAAAATAATGACTCTGTTTTAGAAGGCGGGGCCAGGATGCTGGGTGGGTGTTCCCTGGGCAGCGAGGCTCTGTGGCCCCAAGGGCTTCCTCCTTTTGCAAGCTTTTTTTTGGCACTCTCGCAGCCAACTCTGGGAGGGTTTCCCGGACAGAGGTCGTCGTGGCAGTTGCCTTAAGACGTGCAGCCCAGGCCACAGCCACTAGTGCTCTCTGACCCAGGTCCACTGCAGGCGGCAGCAGCAGCCCCAGCCGGTGCAGCAGCATGGAGCTTTGGGGGCCCTACTTGCTCCTCTGCCTCTTCTCCCTCCTGACCCAGGTCACTGCCGAGACACCTACCTCCAAGGTCAAGAAGGCTGCAAATGTTAAGAAAGGTAAGGAGGGGGGTGGAGCCCCTCCCCATCCTCCAGGGAGCTGGTCGCCCTCTCCTTTGCTGGTCCTCACTCTCCTTCCCCTCCTTCACTTTCCTTCTCCATGAGTCCAGCGAACTTCAATGAAGTACCCCTTGGGATCTGGGAGAGTCCTCCAGCAGCAGGGGCAATTGTCAAAACTGTAAGAGTCACTGGCTCTTAGAATCAGAAAGAAGCTTCCAGATCACCTAAACTGACATCCACTCCCCCACCACCCCAATATTTTACAGAAATCAAACCTTTGGCTCAGAAGTCTGGAGATGTCCGACTCTCATCAGGAGTGTTGGCAGGCTTTGCCTTGGCATCTCCAAACCTCAGGTTTCTCAACTGTAAAATAGGGATTGTGGCATTTGCTCACAACGCTGGTTGTGAGGATTTAATGATAGAAAACATGTGAAGTGTCTGGAACGTAGGATATACTTGATGCACGGCGGGGGCGGGGAAAGAACAAGTTAATTCTTAGTTCTATAGTGTATCACAGCCTCGAGGAAATAAAAATGTTCAAACCCAAACTCGGATAGTGGAGGCAGCTTTGCTCTCCCTCTGTTGCCTCTGGGTTTGGGGTGTCCTTGGGTCGCCTTGGCCTCAGCAAGGCCTGCCCTTGGAGCCCTGCCTGCAGTGAGGTCACCGCGGGCTGTTTTGAGACAACGTTAGTGAAATGCCATGGCAATGATCGGGGCTGTCACCCCCCACAGGGCTCCAAGGGGAGGAGAGAGAGTTCCAGGGGATGAGAGTGCTTATTAAGCAGAGAAACAGGTGGCTGGGGCCAAGAGCACAGAAAAGGTGAGGCAGAGGGGCATGGGCCGCCCTCAGGCCCCTCTCTGAGCCTCTTCTAAATGGACAGCTGCCCACTGGTCACGGACAATGTACATAAGGGCACATTAGGACCATGGAGACCCACAGGCCTGCAACACAGAATGGGCGGATCTGGGTGCTGATAGGAAATAATCCCCAAGGTTCAGTTCATAAAGTAAACAACAAAAAATTCAATACTTTGAATGGATACTATGCTGACATTGGTTTTGAAAAAGGGACTTATATAAAAAAATATATTTACTTGTATATGCATAGAATTTTCTGGAAGGATCCACAAGAGTTAGTAACAGTGATTACCTCTGGGAAGAAAAACTAGGGAGCTAAGGGCAGACTTGATTGGGAAGGAGACTTTGACGTTCTGAACTGTTTGGGTTTTTTAAAGTTATATGGCTGTATTACCTTTTACAAAACGTTCATTAAAAAAAAAAGAAGACTCACAGCATGCATGGTATGTCCACGAACGTTAGCTGAAATTGCCACCAAGGATGTTCTTTGTAAAGGATACACAGTTCCAAAGGCAAATAACAGAATTTTTGAATGTGGAAAATAGTTGTTAATTTCTCAAGTTTACCAAAGATTTAGTATGTATTTATTTAATCATGTAAATCATGTATTTGATCATATGGACAAGAAGGTCAAACCAGACAATGCCCTGGTCCTCTTCAGCTGTCACACTTGAACCCTAGCTCCATGTGGTCCCCACGGAGGTGGCCCATGGAGGTCCAGGAGGAGGCCCGCAGAACAGCTGACAGAGCAAGAGTGGAGTGTCCTGTCCAGCGCTGCCTCTTGCTGAAACCCACTGCAGCTTGGTTTTCCTTCCTTCGACCTGCTGCCCACCTACACCACACACGCTTACAGAGCTCTTTCTCCAGGTAGGGGCCAGTATACGTGCTGAACACTCTAGCAGACCATTAGCATCCCTGCTCTTAAGATGTGAATCAATTTGCAAACCACGGTGGTTCTCCCTCAGGCATCATCAGCATCATCTGGGAAATACATTAAAATCCAGGCACCTGGGACCCACCCCCAGAAATGCTGGATCATGGGCCTGGAATGGGCCCCAGCATCTGCCTTTCCCACCAGTCTCCAGTGATTCCTGGGAGCAGCCAGGACTGGGAATCAAAGGAACAACCTAGTCAGGGACCAGTGCACAAAAGTGGGGGAGGGTGTCCGGAGGAGGGACAGTCGTGCCCAAGGAGACCCCTCAGTGCCCGCTGAGTGGTGGAGAACAAGCTGGCAGGATGGATGAGGGGAGGAGAGGACAGAATGTGCTATGCCCCCATGCTGGCCCCCCGGGTGGGATGAGAAGGGGGAGAGCCCAGGCTGCTTCTGGGAGCTCATCTGCCCCTGGTGTGGGGTGTGGCCTGAGCCAGCTGTATGGGGGTCAGCCAGACGTGAGGCAGGGAGAGCTTAGGTGGCTGGAGCTCCAGAGGCCATGTGGCCACACCTGGCAGAGGAGCTCAGGTGGGGAGGATGGCCTCACAGGGGGTCACAGACTCTTAGAACAGGGACTTGAGGGCATCCATTTCAATAACATGCATCAGGAATCTGAGGCTCAGAGGTAGTGAGGGGCAGCACAAGGGCTCCGACTCCTAGCCCAGAGCTGTAGAAACACCCAACTCCTACGCCTTCCTCAGTGGAGTTCTGTTAGCACCTTGGTCCTTGGCCAGTCCCTGGAGGGCCCCTCGTACAGTCGGGCACCTTGGTGCAAATCACAAAAGGCTCTCCGCTCTGAGCTGACAAATTATAGAAGAGCATCCCTTTCTCTGGTGTGGTCAAGCAGCACAGCCAGGGCAAGGCTTAGAGGCTGGACATGGGCCCCCACCTGTCCCCTCAGCTGAGTGCCCTTGTGCAGTACCCAACTTTCACAACTTTATGCGGTGCCCTGTGCTGGTACATCACGGGACTGAGTACAGAGCTGCTGTGAACCACTGAGGCAGAGGCCCACTGTGAGGCACACATAACCCAGTCAGGCTAGTTTGCCAGCCCCAAACACTCCCTGTTTTGCCTTGCTCATCTGGGTGTTAATTTCCTCATACTTGGTAAGTCACATCATGAATTTCTATATATGCCAGTATGTTTCTTGCTCACGTTTCCTGTGATTCCCCTGCAAAGGAATCTGGGGTGGACAAAGGTCTGACTTCACCCCTCATACCATGGACTTTATGCAGGCACAGCCAAATGGACCATGGAAGCGCTTCCCCACCCTCTACCCAAGCTGAGCTCAGCCTTTCCTGAAGCTCCTGGGATTTCAGAAAGACTGGGGTCCACCCACTTAGCTCTCAACTTACACATGCAGAGGAAGACATTTCACATCTGCCTCTCATGAATAACTGGCTCCAAACGGGCCTTTGTGCTCAGGAAGGCTCACATTAGGAAACCTGCTGCCATCACAGACGTGGGGAGAACAAGCTTGCAGCCGTGCGGACTCGGGTTCGGGCTGCTGGCTCTGCCAGTTCAGGCGAGTTGCTTCGGTCTGGCCTCAGTTTCCCGTCTGTGAATTGGTGGTGGTGTAGAAGAGACACATTACCCACGTCACAGGGCTGACAATGAGCCCAGCGCTGGTCACATGCTTCATTTCTCTTAGTCTTTATTCTTCTTCAGAGTCCTTGCAGGTGGGGCTATTATCATCCCGTTTTACAGATGAGGACAGTGGATTCAGGGAGGCTGTGGAACTTGCCCAGGTCACCCACATGCATGCAACCTCAGAGCCTGTACACACGTTCACCTGTGCTGCTCCACGTAGCCCCAGGCCGAGTGCCTGCCCTGCTTGGTCCGTGTCTTGTTCGTCCAGCCTGGGGAAGTGAATCTGGGAGGTCTCAAGGGCCCCTGGCCCTGCTTCCTGTGCTCTGTTCTCCTCTAGAGCTGGGAGGGTGGTTGGGTGTCACCGAAGGAGCTGTCTGCACCCTCCACCCTGCTCCTGCAAATCCCAACCCCATCTGATCCCAGCAACTCTCCCGAACAATGCGGTACAGGTCTCACTTTAGCAAGAGCAAGAGAAGGATGGTCCCCCGGCAGAAGGAAAATCATCAGCTATCACTTAGACTACCACCGGCAGGGACAGGGAGAGAGAGAGTATGCCAAGACATCAAGGTCGAGGGGAGTCGTTTCCCTCGTCCCCTTGTGGCTGACAGTGGTCCACCCCTCCCAGTCCCTGCCCTGCCCCACTCCCTACTGCCTTTCTCACGTGTTCGTGATTGTCCCCACTTCCTTCTGACTTCATCCTAGATGCCGTGAGCCCGAAGATGCTTGAGGAGCTCAAGGCCCAGCTGGACAGCCTGGCCCAGGAGGTGGCCCTGTTGAAAGAGCAGCAGGCCCTGCAGACGGGTGAGTGCACGTGGCGACCTCTCTGGGCAGGGGTACATCAGACAGAGGGCCTCAGGCCAGCAGCCAGCAACCCACCTGTAGCCTCGAGCCAGCACCAGGGCCCTGGCTGGCCCCTGTAGTCCAGGGCACTGGATTCACAGAGCCCCCTCCTCAGCCTGCTTCTCTCAGGAAGATCCTCTGACATGTGGAAGCAGCAATGTACCAAAAGGACAACAAGCTCTCCCACAAGAATCCATTACCGCCCACTGGAAGTGCGAGCCCTGCAGTGCTCGTGGAGCAGAGGCAACCCTAATGAACCCCAGGAGACCCTCCACTCAGCCAGCCCCCACAGCCCTACAGGGCGTGAGCTTCATTCCCTGTGTCAGCAGCTTTGCTGAGGCTGCCACTCTTATCATCATCATTATGCTGAGGCAGGATTTATCACCCCTATTTTAAAGAGGGGAACTGAGGCATAGAGAGGTTCTGGTTTTGCCACGCCCACCTGGCTAGTTACTGCAGTTTAGGATGGGAATGGAAGCAGCCTGCCTGGTGCATGCTGGGTGTGAGGAAAGGTGGGCTGTGGTCTTCCTGGCCCTGCACAAACCAGCTAAACCAGGATGGACAAAATACACGGCTGCGGAGCCCCGGGACACAGCTCGTAGCCACCTGCCCTAGCACTGCCTGGCCAGCCTGCCTGGGCAACCTGTTCTCTTTCTCTCCACCAAGTTCCTTTCATATTGTCTCTATTTCCCACACATCTCAAACTCACCTACTTCTTCGTGACCTTGCCCTGGAGAACACAGAATACAGACTAACAATACTACTTAACACATGGGGGAATGTTTAAAATGAGCACAGTGTTGTTCAGGGCCTCAGTTTCCTCATCTGTAAAGTCGAAGGGCTGGGGGTGGACTTGCAGGGCAAGCTCTAAGGTCTCATGTCTAAGCTTTGTGCTTGTGCCAAGACCATGCAACCCAGATGCCACTTGCCTCCTGAGGTGGGTGATGTGGTGGGGACCTCCCCAAGCAAAGTCCATGGCATATGGAGAACTAAACACCCCCTCCATGTCTGCTGATTCCTAGGAGGTTCATGGGCTCCTGGCCTCCTTGGGGACCTTCTCCCTCTCATCACCCTCTCCTTTACTACCACTACCTGCAAATCACCTTGTCAATAACCCCACACAAAGCACTCCTGACCTAACTGAAGAGTTGAGAGAATCAAGGGTTAGGGGAGCAACCCTCCCCTCCCGCCATCTGCCCCTTCCCTCCCCCAATCAGCAAACACACATGAGGTCCTCCCCCCAGCGAGCCTCTGCCAGGCACAAGGAGGCAGAGGTGACCCAGCCGGGGTCCTGCTCTGGGAGCCTCAGTGTATTCATGAAATCAATGTATTCACTGGAACCCGCATGTGTAGGAACATAAAGAAGGATTCCAAGCAGAGGGCATGGTAGGAGCAAAGCTATGGAAGGCCAGCCAAGAATCAACAGGATCGGGCTTCCCTGGTGGCGCAGTGGTTGGGAGTCCGCCTGCCAATGCAGGGGACACGGGTTCGTGCCCCGGTCCGGGAAGATCCCACATGCCGCGGAGCGGCTGGGCCCGTGAGCCATGGCCGCTGAGCCTGTGCTCCGCAACGAGAGAGGCCACAACAGTGAGAGGCCCGCGTACAGCAAAAAAAAAAAAAAAGAATCAACGGGATCATGAATAGGCCAGAGTGACAAAATGTCAGTAACGATGGTAAGGCACTGAGAACTGATACTTATTGAGGACTAACTATGTTGGAGGGAGTGTTGCAGGTGGGGTTCCCAAGAAGCAGCCCCGAGGTGGAGTTTAGCCTGCAGGAGGTTTATTAGGGAGCACACCCAGGATCAGCACCTGGGGAAGGGAAGAGACAGAAGGACGCAGGAGTGGGAAGAGTGCCCTGCGCGTCTCAACGAAAGCCTCAGCCAACTGCAGAGGGAGCCCTGACGACGGGAGGGCCCTTCAGAGCTGTCCTGAGTTGGGGCAAGAGGGCTCATGGGCCAGTCACTGGGTACAGGCTGCTCTGGTTAGGGGGCATACCATGGGGGAGGGGGCTGTCTTCCGCTGATGCAATCCCCAAAGGGGCTGAGAGTTAAGAGTTGTCCCCCAGCAGCGCTCCCAGCAGCTGGGGTAGTCAATCCTTCACCCCAAGGGGGTCTTGGTGGCGTGTCAGAGTCCCCAGCAGGAAGGAAAGGCAGTGTGGCGCCAGGCTGGGAAGGGCAATGAAACCTGGCTAGGATGAGCTGCAGGATAGCATGTGGTAGGGCTGGCTGCCTTGGGACGGCATCTGTGAGTAAAGACACCTCTGTGATGCTGCAGGCCCGGAGTTCAGAGCTCCAGGAGTGTCAGGTGCTCACGGGGACATGGAGATGTGTGTTAAGTGAAAGCAACTGAGTGAGAGGGTGAGTGAGTGAGGGGATGGGGGTGGGGTGGAGTGCAGACCTGCCCCTAACACTTTTGGGGTCAGCAGCAAGAGGACAAATGGAGGCATGTACCCCAACTGCCTAAACATTTAAGTTACAAACCCAGCTGAAGAACAAACTGCTGGGACTTCCCTGGTGGTCCAGTGGTTAGGACTCCACGCTTCCAATGCAGGGGGCCCGGGTTCGATCCCTGGTCAGGGAACTAGATCCCGCATGCTGCACGAAGATCCCGTGTGCCACAACTAAGACCCGGTGCAGCCAAATAAATAAATAAATATTAAAAAAAAAAAAAAAAACACCAAACTGCTAAGTAAAAACATTCTATGCTCCTAAGCTGACCAAATATATACCTTCATCACAACCTTTGAGACCAGATTCAAATTTAGAATCTTGGACTCGAGTTCCATGCCTGAGAGAGCTAGCCCCTGGCCCACCACCTGGGCCATCTCCTCTGTCCCAGGGGCTTGCCCGTCTCAGCTCTGTCCTCCCAGTCGCCACCCCAGAAGAGGCCCCTGGCAGACTCTGGGAGCTTGCTTGGGCCCCTGGGTCAGGGCTTTGGGGTCCTGGGTACCTGGAGTGTGGTCTAGGTTCTGGGTAGGGATGTCCCCTGGCCCTGCAGTTTCTTGATCTTAGGGAGGGTGGGGCTGGAGGAAGATCAGAGCAGGTGGCTCCACCTGGGCTCCCCGGGAAGCCCACTCTGAGATGGAGCTCATTTATTAGGGAGAGCCCGGGGTCCCAACTGTGAAGGGAGGGAGGTGTTGGAAGCAGATTGGGCAGAGGGGGAGCAGAGTAGCAGCACAGGCCCAAGGCCCGCCTCTGCCACCCTGTGGAGCCTCCAAGCTAAAAGGCCCCTTCAGAATTATCCTGCTTGGGGGAGAGATGACCCTACCTATTCCCCTGGGCACTGGATGGGGCACCCAGGAGAGGGGTGTGACCTTGACGGAGGGGCCGTGTGCAGCTGAGGGGGCTGACCTCACTCCCAGCAGCAGGGGCTCCACCACCTCTTAAATGGGGATCTGAGATGTGCATCAGTGCCCACCACAGCACGGCCCTCTGGCCTGGGTCTGGAGCCTGTCCAGGGAGGACAGGATGTACAGGGATGGAATGGAGGATGGTGTGACTACCCCTGGCGGTTGGCTCTTGGCTCCGGAACCGTAGGCCTTGGGTGACGTCCATTTCCTCCCCTTCCCCCCAGTCTGCCTGAAGGGTACCAAGGTGCACATGAAGTGCTTTCTGGCCTTCGTCCAGGCGAAGACCTTCCACGAGGCGAGCGAGGACTGCATCTCGCGAGGGGGCACCCTGGGCACCCCGCATACGGGCTCCGAGAACGACGCCCTGTACGAGTACCTGAGCCAGAGTGTGGGCAGCGAGGCCGAGGTCTGGCTGGGCTTCAACGACATGGCGGCCGAAGGCACCTGGGTGGACATGACTGGCGGCCATATCACCTACAAGAACTGGGAGACAGAGATCACCGCCCAGCCCGACGGCGGCAAGGTCGAGAACTGCGCTGCTCTGGCCGGTGCGGCCAACGGCAAGTGGTTCGACAAGCGCTGCCGGGACAACTTGCCCTACGTCTGCCAGTTCGCCATCGTCTAGCGGGCCGAGAGGGGCGAGGGCGGGGGCAGAGTCCGGGGGCGGGGCCAGGGGAGGGTGGGATCGTGAGCCCCGGAAGAGGGGCCGTGGGACCTTCCCGCCCCGCATCCCTACCCCCGCGCGCTGGGGGCCTCCTCTTGCAAATAAAGTGGGTGCAGCTTGGCAGAGAGTGGCTGCGGTCTGTGCCGGGTCCAAGGGGTGGGGAGTCCAGGAGCCCGGCCGGGAGCCCAGGGAGAGGTCGCTTAGAAGGAGGCGAGTAGGGAGGTGATGAAGGATGTCGAGCTGGGCGCAGAGGAGGGGGAGGAGGAAAAGAAGGGGGGGGACGAGGGAACCCCTGACTGCTGCTGCCTTTTTTAAATTAAATAACTTTATATTTCATTGGATTTCCCACTTACAGAAAAGTTGCAAGAATTCCCGTATACCCTTCATCCAGATTCCACAAATATTAATGTTTTCCCATATTTGCTTATTCTTCTATTTTTTCCTGAACCGTTTGACAGTGAAATGCAGACGTGATGCCCCTTTACCCCTAAATATTTCAGCGTGTTTCCTGAAAGCAAGGACATTTTCTCACGGAAGCAGAGCACTGTTATCAAGGTCAGGAAATAAACACTGTTACTATGTTGTTATCTAAGTTACAGGCCTTATTCAGATTTCCAGTCTTCTTACTGCAGACTCCACTTCCTCTTGTTGGAATCCAGCATCCCCTCCACAACTCCAGAGGAGGAGGGACACTCCCACCTGACACCCTCCTGTTAGGGATTCATTTCTGCGGTGGACTGACATGCTGAGTCCTGTCGGGGTGAGAGCACAGGCTGCCCGCGGGGGATATTTGCATCCGCCTTCTTGCCCAACAAGGGGGCTGGTTCAGGAGCCAAATATGACAGTGGCCAACATTGCCTGACTGGTGTGTCCCCCTCCTTCCCGCTCCTCACAGAAAGTTCCACCCTAGCAATACCAGCTACTACTTATTGAGCCCACAGACTCGCAGGCACTCCACCCAGGACAGGCGTGTTATTATCCCAGTTTTGTAGAAAAGGAAGTTGAGGCTAAGGGAAGTTAAGTGACTTCCATTGGTCACACTGCTAGTAAGCAGCAGAGCCAGGATTACAAGGGCCTTGGCCTTTCCACCATCCACCACCGTGATACTTGTCTCACGTTACTGGACCTTCCCTGAGATAAAACATCACAGAAGTGGCCTAGTGACCCCCAGAGGCTATTGGCCAGCTCCTGGTGTGACCTGGCCCATCCAACCATGTAGGCCCAGCTCTAGTGACACCCTTAGGGGAGGTCTTCCCTATCACATCAGCCATGGCATCATCCACTGTGTGGACTTTGCCATATCTTTTCTCCCTGGTTGTCTTCTAGTGTGTCTTGCCTTCAGTAATAAATTGATGATAGTTTGATTTGATCAAGGGGAGTGGGCTGGGCTGAAGTAGGTAGCTTACAATGAACTGTGTGCGTACTTTGTGCCAGACAGCCTGCTCGGCATTGTCACAGAAAGCATCTCATGTAATTCCACAGTTATAGGCAGAGGTAATGATGGATGAGATCCATTATAGGTGCAGAAACTGAGGCTCAGAACAGTAACGTGATTTTTTTCAAGACGGCCTAGTAAGTGAGAAGCAAAAATGCGATGCAAATCTCGGTCTGGCAGCTCTGAATCCTGGGCTCTTTTTACCCCACTCAGCCATCTAGCAGGATGTAGGTGGCCATGGATTTTGTGAAGTTCCCTGCATTGGGTGGATGCCCACAAGAGGGCACCAGGCCTCTGCATGTGAGCATGGGTCCTGGTGGAGAGGTGCCACCGTGGCATTGCCTGCTTCCAGCAGCAGGTGGAAGTATGAGCAAGAGAATCGTTACCCATCTTTAATCAGCCGGGAATGCTCTTACACTTGAGACACTGAGACTTGTGGACTTCAAGCTGGGGTACACCTGTCCTGGGATCCTGTCTTTAAGCTTTGATGTGTTTTTTTTTTCACAGTTTTTTTCCTTTATTTTTTTTTTTTTTTTTTGCGGTACGCGGGCCTCTCACTGTTGTGGCCTCTCCCATTGCGGAGCACAGGCTCCGGATGCGCAGGCTCAGTGGCCATGGCTCACGGGTCCAGCGGCTGCACGGCATGTGGGATCCTCCCGGACCGGGGCACAAACCCGTGTCCCCTTAATCGGCAGGCAGACTCTGAACCACTGCACCACCAGGGAAGCCCTGCATTAATTTTTATTTTTTAAAACATCGTGTTCGAATATTTTTTATCATAATTACTGAGCTTTTAGGTACTTCCTTAAATTTTGTACCCCAGGGAGTGTCTCACTCACCTCACTATTCCTGGCCCTGGCTACAAAATTTGAATTTTCCAAGGCGTATATAAACAATGATAAAGTATTGGTTTCTAGATCTTCAAGGGAACTGGTTTCTACATCTTCAGCTTCTCCATTACTCTTTACTAGAGCTGATGGTAGAGCCCTCTTTCACAACCATCCATTTCCCTCTTTACTGTGCGTTGCCCTGGTGTGTAAAAAACTCTGAGGATGCACAACAAAGGGATAATTTGAAATACTGCTGTAAGGAGGCAAAAGACTGGGTAAAAACTTCTTTTGCAAGTTCAGTTGTCTCCAGTTCTCTTTCCTCAACAGCCTTGGAGAAGAGCCTAATGCTCAGAGACCATGAAAAATACATTCTGATGACAGAGTGCTTTTGACCTGTACCTTAGGAGAAGTTCAAGTATTAAGTGACATCACTCTTTTCAGTGACACCAGCCTACTTATCTGAACAAGATTGGAGTAATATTGATGCTGAGCCCTGCTTCACTCTAGGATGCATGAACCAATGAAAGAAAAATCCATCCATCTGATTAAGAGATTCCTATTTAATCATGTGAGAGGGCGGTTTCTGGACGGGTCTTTCTCTGTCTGCTTGTTGGCCCTTAACCAGTGTGCTGGAGCCATGTGCTCAGGTTCCAACTGAGCCTTGCTCTCTCCGCCCTGTCCCATCACCACTGCCATTCCTATTCCTAGTCCTCTTGCATTTGGCTGTTCCTACCACCTTCCTCAGCCTAGCTCATCCCAGCCAAGGGAAGGGAGAGTCAAGGGGAGGAACTACAGATGGAGACCCCCAGTGTGGAGAAGGGGGTGCCCTGAGAGACCTGGGGCTGGTAATGGTGGCCCTTGCTATGGGATCCTGGAGAAGGCCTGTGGGGCATGTTGGCCCCCAATTTCGTCACCTGCAAAATGAGGTTTAGCTTAGATGACCTCTTAAGCCTCTTGAGTCCAGGATTCTGCCCAACTATCCTCGGGAATGTCTTTTGTAGAATTCTCTCCAGAAAAGAAAGCTGTTCGGTGGTTGTTTCCTTGCCCAAACAAGCCCCCGTCCCCTGACGCTTTACTTTCTGCAGCAATCGTGGGCCCTGCTCTCTCTCTCTTGAATCCCAAACAGGTACAAATTCAGATGCCTGGTGGACACCGCCACCTAGGAGTCCTTAGGCACCTAAGTTAACATGTTTCAAAAGAGAACTTGGCATCTCCCACTCAAGTCTGCTTCTCTTCCTGAGATCACCATCTCCATGGGAGGTCCCCACCTTACCAGTCACTCAAGCCCCAGACCTGTGAGGCATCACAGGTGCCTCAGTGTCTGTCACGCTTGAGATCCAAGTCATCAGGACTTCTGGTGATTTTACTTGCTGAGGAAGTCTCAGATCACCTCTCCTGTTCTGCTGCTACTAGGCCCAAGGCTCCTCCTTGACCCTTAAAAATAATATCCTTCCTGGTTCCCATTTCCCACCACATCTCTCCCAGCCTCCCTAAACCATGGCCTTTCCTGCGTAACCACTAGCTAGCTATACAGCAGAGAAGGCTGGTTCAAACTGTGGTCAGAGTCGGCCCCTGGAATGCGAACTTCCCTCCCACACACGTACACATATTTGCTTCAACTGAAGCATTAATGTGTCCTGGATGCCTTAAACCTCTAGGCACATTCTTCTTTTGATTTTGGCTTTGCTGACAGTGGAGATATTAATAAAAACAAAGAAAATGAGCAATGTGTGCATTCCTGATGTGTGCTGGGCACTGACCCACAAGCCCCTTACTATGTCCTGACAACAACCCAGGAATTACCTCATTTCATATTCATAATAACCTAGGAGAGAGGTATTATTAAGCCTATCTTACAGTTGAGGAAAATGGAGTACAGAGAGCATAATTTTTCTAAGAACATCCATGGATGGGGCTGGACTTCCAGCACAGGTCTGTTGAGCTCCAAGGCCCATGTGCCATCTACTATATACATTCAGTTCTTCCTGAATCTTGAAGAAAGTTTTCAGATAATTCATGATGTGATTGTGAAAGTTTTGTGAAAAGGAGTTGATGGTGATGTGCATTGGTGTGTATTTGAGATTGCTGCTAGCGAATCCTGTAAAAACACATTTTCCACCCAGATTTTGCAGGGCTATTTCTGAAGCTTAACGTTAGATTCTACTTTACCTGCTTTCATGGGTGACTCATGAAAAGCATGGTTTATGAGTGTCTCTTTCAGGCTAAAAATCATGACACAATCTACAAAGAAACTAACCATCTTCTCCACTAGAATGTGCTGCTATTTCATACAGTGTGAGAACACAGCCAGGGGAGAAACATCTCAGAGATCAATGCAATCTCCAGATGAAAAGACCGAGGCCCAGGGAGGTTAAGTGACCAGCCAAGGTCAAGCAGCTTGCAAGACAATGAGCCCAAGAGTCTCACTTCGTTAGTAGAAACAGCTTTGTGCAAACCATTTCTCCAAACAGCCACCTAGTAAGTACTGAGTGCCTTCCATGTGCCAAGCACTCTGCCAGGAGCTGGGCCATGAGACCTGGGTCCTGTTCTTGAGGTGTTCACCTGCTTGCTGAGGGACCTGGCATTTTCAGGAGCTCAGAAACAGAGGGATGGGGCTGGTTTTTGCCCCGAAGAGTAGCTCTCCTGTTTCGCATTGTTGGGAAAACAACTGTGCAGTAGTCGTAGGAAAATGTCTTTCAGAATAGGACAGACAAGCCAAATAGCTAGGTCAGAGACAAACTGGAAAACTAGTGTTTCCTCCAGTTCATCACCAAGTTTCATCAGGAAAACCTTACACCAGGTTGAAGTTACTCATTGGTAGTGAAATAGGGTCAGGAAGAAACCCTGGATTTGGATTC